GAGTGGGAGGCGGATAGAAGATATTTATTTCAAAACCCCCTTCCCCTCCCCCTTTTCTGATGAAGGGTCTAGGCCCGAAACGTCAGCCTCTCTGCTCCTATGATGCTGCTTGGCCTGCTGTGTTCATCCAGCCCTGCACCTTGTTGTCTCGGATTCTCCAGCATCTGCAGTTCCTACTATCTCTGATTCAATTTGGACCCAGCACCGATCCTTGTGGCGCACTGCTGGTCACAGGCCTCCAGTCCAAAAGCAAAATCAATCACCACCAACTTCTGTCTCCTACCTTCAAGCCAATTTTTTTTATCCAAATGATGAGCTCTCCCTGGATTCGATGTGATCTAACTTTGCAAGCCAGTCTACCATGCGGAACCTTGTCAAATGCTTTGCCAAAGTCCTTATAGACAACCTCCACTGCTCTACCTGTATCAATCTTCTTTGTCACTTCTTCAAAAAACTCAATCAAGTCAGTGAGACACAATTTCCCATGCACAAAGCCATGTTGACAATCCCTAACCAGTATTTGTCTTTCCAAATACATGTAAATCCTGTACCTCAGAATTCCCTCCAACAACTTCGGCACCACTGATATCAGGCTCACCGGTCTATAGTTTCCTGGCTTTTCCTCACCACGTTTCTTAAATAATGACACCACATTAGTCACCCTCCAATTTTCTGGCACCTCAACCATGGCTATCAATGATGCAAATATCTCAACAAGGGGCATAACCATCACTTTCCTACCTTCCCACAAAGTTCACGGATACATCTGATCAGGTCTTAGGGATTTGTCCACCTTATGTGTTTTAAGACGTCCAGCACCTCCTCCACTGCTTTTCATCATTTATACAAATGAATTGGATGTGGAAGTATGGTTAGTAAGTTTGCAGATGACACCAAAATTGGTGGTGTAGTGGACAGTGAAGAAGGTTATGTCAGAGTAAAATGGGACCTTGATCAGATAGGCCAACTGACCAAGGAGTGGCAGATGGAGCTTTATGTAAATTAAATTAAATGTGAGATGCTGCATTTTGGTAAGGAAAACCAAGACAGGACTTACACAGTTAATGGTAGTGCCCTGGGTACTGTTTACCAAAGAAAGAAACCTAGGGATGTTGGTGTATAGATCCTTGAAAGTGGAGTTGCAGGTATACAGGGTGACGAAGAAGGTTTATGGCACTGCCTTCATTCGTCATAACATTGAGTATAGAAGTTGGGATGTCATGTTGTGGCTGTACAGGACATTGCTGAGGCCAATTTTAGAATACTTCATACAATTCTGGTCACCCTTTTATAGGAAGGATGTTGTCAAATTTGAGAGAGTGCAGAAAAGATTTACAAGGATGTTGCCGGTACTGGAGGTTTTGAGCTATGGGGAAAGGCTGAATAGGCTGGGGCTTTGTTCCATGGAGCATTGGAGACTGAGGGGTGACCTTATAGAGGTTTATAAAATCATGAGGGGCATGGATAGGGTGAATAGCCAAGATCTTTTTTCCTCAGGTGGAGAAGTCCAAAACTAAAGGGCATAGGTTTAAGGTGAGAGGGGAAAGATTTAATAAGGATCTGAGGGGTAATTTTTTCATGCAGTGGTGCATGTATGGAACAAGCTGCCAGAGGAAGTCGTGGAGGCGGGTACAATTAAAACATTTAAAAGGCATCTGCATGGGAAAATGAATAGGAAGAGTTCAGAGGGTCAGATTGGGATATCTGGTCAGCATGGATGAGTTGGACCAAGGGGTCTGTTTCCGCCCTATGACTCTATGACTCTACAAATCAAATGAAGTTGGATCTACAGCCATTGTTGGATGTACCAGCACCCTTTTAAAAAACATATTTTGGAATTACAAGTTTAAAATGCCGTTGTACTTTATGGTTGTGACCTGTAGACTGCAATGTGTGTTTTGGTTGCAAGAAGATTAATTGGTAATAATCTCCTTACTCATTTTTTGTCAACCTGTAATGTTTAGTGAGAAAAATAAGATTATTAGTAGAATATGTAGTTGTCTGCATGCAACTTAATAATGGTGGCAATTGCTATTTTGAGATAGTGTGGATATCCTTTTGCTGGCATTAATATATTAATGGGCTTAATTTTTCAATTATTGACACTATACATGTTAAAAGTGTCAGGATTTGGAAATTAAATAGAGAGGAGGGTTTAGTGATGGTACATGTTGCTTAAGTCAATTATAGTAAAATTCACCAACAGAACAAAAGGCAATGTTTTGAGTGGAGATAGTAGGAACTGCCGATGCTGGAGAATCTGAGATAACAAGGTGTAGAGCTGGATGAACACAGCAGGCCACGCAGCATCAGAGGAGCAGGAAAGCTGACATTTCGGGTCTCATCAGCTTTCCTGCTTGCTTGGCCTGCTATGTTCATCCAGTTCTACATCTTGTTATCTTTGTTTTGAGTGGAGTTGTTTGAAAATAATCCTTGGCTATTTCTTACCTCTACTTCTGCCTTTACATTTGATGGTGAGCCACATCTATTGTTTTCTTATATAGCATATTTCCTCATTATGTCAGGACATAAATCAAGTGTCCCTACGGGATACCACTATAAACTGGATAATAAGAGATATCTTTTGCAGATGGCCTTTTATATTTTCTGTTACCTGTTTTGGAAAAGTTTCCATGTGTGGGGAAAATCCTAGCTTACACTCAGGGCTGAAGCTAGAAACTCTGTGGGAGTTTCAGCTTAAACCATTTCACCTTCTGCAAATTGTTTTCATTTCTTTACAGTAACATGTTATATAGGTGCAAAAGTGAAAAAGGATGCATGTTCTGAGGATTGACCATGGGTGGGCAGAAATCTTGATTAAAATGTCTTGTCATAATTAAAAATGAACTAGATCTTACAACATTATTGTGTTTGTTTTTATTTTAGGTGTCTCTGGGGCAATACTTGCAAAAGCTGGCAGTACTGTTGTAGATGAATGTAAGAAACTGGGTAAGTTACAAATATAAATGTGTGTGTTTTATAAATATATATGTATATAAAAAATAATGCATGATATTTTAAAAAAACCCTGCAAGATAGAGATTTGAGTACTTTTCGAGTATGCAATTTATGTTGATGATCTTTAATATTCATAAATCTTACTTTCATAAAGGCTGATGGAGCAAGATGCTTCTTTCACTAGTATCAATCATGAGGACATAGCAGTGTGGCTTGAGCATTCAGAATAGATCGGATTAGTCATTTTCTGGTCAGTAGATAAAAGCAAAGTGGATAAGGATAAAGGTCAGTAGATAAACAACTTGGAAGTTGTTGCACCTTTGGCTTCTGCAACCACTGCAGTGAGTAATTGAATAATGAACATACGAAAAGCATAAAGATACAAGTTAGTAGCAGGAGTAGGCTACTGAACACTTGGGCCTACTCCCCCTTTTAATAAGATCCCAGCTAATCTGATTACTTCATTGTCCATCTACCCTGATAACCTTTCACCCCTGATTAAGCCAGCATCTACAGAGAGAGAACAGAAATTGAGGTTAATTTTTCAGAACCTGGAATGTTAACCAACTCTACATAAATGGTGCCTGACCTCTTAAATGCTTCCAACACCTTGTGATTTAATTTGCTACCTGGCTTTCAATTTTAAGCTTGAGACCTACCGGGATCTATTCATATATCCTGTTACAATTCTGGCTTTTTCATGTCCAACAAAAATAATCATCTTCCATTATCAAGTTTAAGTTTCCTCTGGTCGGAAGCAAAATCTCATGCACAAGTTGATCTGGCATAGCATGATCCAATAAAATAAAAAACCCATTTCTTACCTTTGGTTCACAGTTAGATTTTTTCAATGTTCTCACATCATTTCAAAAGATGATTAACTTTAGACCTACCACAGACTTTCAGAGCAAGGAGGCAGCTTTATCATAGGTCATGTCATTTGCCAAAACAAGCTTTAAGCTCAGACAACAGAACATCAACCTCTTCCCCTACCTGGGATGCAACATTTCCCAGGAGGGTGCTTCAGGGATCGATGATCACACAAAAATCGGTAAAACAGTACTAGTCTTTCAGCAGTTGTACATGGTGTAAGCATCCAACATGTCAATATAACACGGAGCTGTGACTCTACATGCTAATAGTGATACTGACCACAGTCTATGCCACCGAAATGTGCAGGAGGATAGAAAAGATGCTGTGTAAGTTGTGTGTCTTTCACCAGCAATATCTACATTAGATGCAGAGCATCCAATGGAGAGACACCATCAATAATGCAGAAGTGCTACACAGGACTAGACAGAGGTACTTGTGGGGGTATCATGCCAGAGAGATCACTGAAAATGGCGGGGTATATATTACCCTCTAGGGTGTATGGCCTGCCAGAATGGCAGATGGGAGAAGCCAATGGCCTAGTGGTACTATTGCTAGACTATTAATCCAGAAATTCAGCTGGGAACCTGAGTTCGAATCCTTGCATGGCAGATAATAGAATTTGATTTCAATAAAAAAAGTCCGGAATTAAGAATCTACTCGTGACCGTGAAACTATTGTCAATTGTCAGGAAAACTTATCTGGCTCACTAATGTCCTTCAGGGAAGGAAATCTGCCATCTTCATCTGGTCTGGGCTTCATGTGACTCCAGACCCACAGCAATGTGGTTGACACGCAACTGCCTCTGAAATGGTCTAGCAAGTCACTCAGTTCAAGGGCAGTTAGGGAAGGGCAATAACTGCTGGCCAACCAGTGATGCCCATGTCCCATGAGCGAGAAAAAAACAGAAGTTGAATGGACACTACCAGATGGTAGAAGAAAAAGATCTGGCTAAAGTCAACCTGAGAAAGTTTTAGAGAGTACTGTCAAGAACAAGATGCTATCTGAACTGGGAAAAAAACGATTACTGTGGAGTAGGGCCAGAAATAGAGAATTGCTGTTCATTGACCCTCCGTGAGACTAGAGAAACTAAGTCAAAATCTAAGTTACGATCTGTTCACATGGAGAGCAGTTTTAAACCAGATAGTGAAAATGTTAAATAGACAAGAAATGAGATGCACTTCTTTTGAAAGCAATATTTTTACAGATATTTCAAACAACTTTAGTTGGAAAGGAGACCTTTTTATGAAACAGCTTCCCTATCCAGCCCAGTTACTGTCTTTTTAGAATTACATATACATTCAGATAGATGAAATCACTTATGCTTCTGCCAATAGATTAGATTTGTAACTATTTCACATCATACATGTTGACACAAGAATGGTGCCTTTTGGATATTCTGAGCCATAAGAAGTGTTACATAAATGCAAGTTTTGTTTTGGTTTAAATGCTCATTGATTTTTCATTACTTTTATTCTTTTATCAATTTGAATTGTGAGCTGGAAGTGACTTGTGGACTTTGGGATATTTTGTGGTAAAAAGAAAAGAATGGACTGAACAAGATTAATTTGTTTTTGAGGTCAGGCCTGGAGGCTATTTGCAGGCTGATTGCTGATTTAAAAGGTTCTAACAGACACAGTGACCCCAAGAAAGAGCATGTGTTTAAAGAAGTTGGATACTACTGAGGTCAGCACCTGGGAATTGGTTCTGGCAAGTCTGAAATAGACCCATTGTTCAAGCAGGTGACACTTTCTTGAATGGCATATGAGGCCTTGTATTAAGTCAATCTATCGGGGTGGAACCAGAATTAAAGTTGGTTTTTGAATGGTGTTTTCTGAGAGATGGTTCTGGGCTGCTGCTAAAATAGCATGAAGATTTGAAAGCTCCCTGCCCAATTTGATATACCAGCTTCTGGAAGCCCAAAGAGTAGAAAGCTGAGTTAGAGCTATTGTTGTCTTTGCCTGGATGAATTGAGAAGGTAACCCTAATCAACATTTCAGAAAAGCAGTCAAGCAGTCTGCATTTATGCCTATGAAACAATACATTATAAAATCCATTTAAATAACTTGACCCAGTTTTAATATTTTCTATTATTTATCTTTTAACTGTGTTTGTTTGTCTTTCTGCCTTTTGTGTGAATGGAGACTGAAAACAAATGTTTCAGGTTGAAAGCACAGACTCTAATCAGCTTACTGTGTTGATTAATTTTCTCTCTGCTATATTTATTGTGTATCTACTAAATAGTTAAGTCTTTACTTTAAGATACAAAACTGGGGTCTAGAAATTAATAACTTGTAAAGATTGGGATTGATTATTCAAAAGTCAGTTTAGGAACTATTTGGAGGTCTTCGACAGTTTAGCTTTACTGTTTTTTGCATATACAGGGGTAGAAAGGCTAATTTGGTTCGGCTGTCTGTCTCTATGTTGTGACATTTCTGTGACAATGAAACTTTCAGAATGCCTATTGACACCATTGTGCAAGCCAATTAATTTAAGGTGGCATGGGAAATATGACACAACAACACAAATATTACTTAGTCAGCAAACAGCAAAGAACACTAGGGCGTTAAATTAAACAGGGAATAGCAAAAAAAAAACTACGAACTGTATTTACAAACTATGGCAGTTTGACTTTGTGACTGAAATGACAGCAACTACTTTGGGTAATAGCAATGTGATATGTGCAATAAAATACAGTAAACGGAGAATTGTTTCATGCAAATTATGCACATAAAATCAATCTCAATTATATATTATGTCATGTGTGAAAGGAGAATAAGTATTTTCTGAGTCTGCAGTTGTAGAAATTGTTAGAATGCATTATTAAGATTTCACAGATAGAGCATATAAAATTAACTCTTCCTTAAACTTTGCGCCTATGTCTTTTTTTAGGTTCTCAACCAAATGATGGTGTTGTTGTTACCAGTGCTGGCAAGCTTACCTGTGATTACATCATACATATGGTCGGTCAAAACAATCCAGTTATGATAACTGCCTCTGTAGAAAAAGTATTGCAGGAATGTGAAAAATATCAGATCACAACTGTATCATTCCCTGCTCTAGGAACAGGTAACTACTGTAAGACTAGAAATATTTCCATTTGTTTATCAATTTATTCTTCTACACTTATTGACTCCTCTCCAACAATGTTTCTTGCTGTTGTGATACGGTTCCATGAGGACCACTCTGCCTCAAGGACTTCTCCCAAATGATCATTATTCATGTTTGCTTCTGGACAGTGGATGTCATCTGGTTATTCAGCTTCAGTGATATCACAGCCATGCATCATGCTTTCCTAATTCAGCACACTGCCTTTACCCTATGTGTTGTCCTCATTTTCAATTGGGTGAAAAAACTGGGGTAAATTTTCACTACTCCAGCCCAAGGATATTGTGACCACTGTTAGTGTCCCCATCTGCTGCCTTGATGAGATTAACTAAACAAGTGAAGATAGGAGGTAAAATACCAATAGACAGTTAGATCAATATGGCTCTATTTATGTTGGTATCTGATTACTAATGTCACTTTCTCATTATATACATCTTTCAGACCACTTTTTTTTGTAATGACTTGTTCATTGGACAAAATGTATCATGCCATGAGCTGCTTGCCCAGTATTTGCTGCTCATTGCTCAGTATTAAACAGTCATTAGATCTTCCAACATTGGTGTCTCACTGATTGTGATACCATGATAGCACCCAGCAATCTGACTTAAATAATTTCTGATGAAGGGTCTAGGCCCGAAACGTCAGCCTCTCTGCTCCTATGATGCTGCTTGGCCTGCTGTGTTCATCCAGCCCTGCACCTTGTTGTCTCGGATTCTCCAGCATCTGCAGTTCCTACTATCTCTGACTTAAATAACTGGTGGCTTATATGTCTGGTTAACCAAAGTGAAATGGGGAACCTAACACCTCCAGAGCCCAACCCTCCGCCGGCTCTGCATCATTCACGCAATATATTCTTAAAACACAAATAACCTAATTGGACAGAACAGATAGCAAGAACTGAAGGTGCTGGAGTAAGAGACAACACAGTGTGGAGCTGGAGGAACACAGCAGGCCAGGCAGCATCAGAGGGAGCAGGAAAGTTGATGTTTTGGGTTGGGACCCTTCTTCAGAAAGCAAGTGCAGTGGCCACTCTGTAGCACCAAGTGATTCAAGGAGGTGGGAGTTGCCTGATTGGTGCCAGTGAATAAGGCAGGCATCCAGCATGTTGTCACCTGCTGTTGCCTTGCTAATGATGACAACCGGCATGTCAAAATGTCATGGTTGGAAATCAGGGCAATCGGGTTGAATTGAAGCAGTGCACATTACATGAGGATCTAATAACTTTCACCATCACAAGAGGAACTTTGTCTTTGGGTGAACCCAACAGCTAACACACCAGATAAAAACCAAAAGAACTGCAGATACTGTAAATCAGGAACAAAAACAAAGTTGCTGGAAAAGCTCAGCAGGTCTGGCAGCATCTGTGAAGAAGAAAACAGAGTTAACGTTTCGGGTCCGGTGACCCCTCCTCAGAACTTCCTAACACACCAGATTGTTCAGGTTCATCACAATCAGCTTTAACATTGCAATCACAAACACCACAGCTTCTAATGAAGTGTAATGCGTTATTAATTTGCAGTGCACAGTCCCCATTTCCCACTTCTGATTGGACTTTGAAAATGTCAAACTTTGCCAGAAACATTTGGGTCCTGAGAAGCATTCTGAGACTCTAATTATCAAACTGTGCCTGCACAGGTATTTGAAAACCTAGCAAACTTACAGCTTGGACTGGCCAGTAGAGCTGTACAACATCATAAATGTCAGTGAGAACAGGGGATATAAGACATCATTAAATCAGAAAAAAAATGTTACGCTGAGTTAATTTTGTTTAAAAAAGTCTAAAGCAATTGATTGCAGTAATAATAATAAATAACTAAATTGGTTTCAAAAGTAGTATTTAAATGAATGTAATACTGATAACAAAAACAATATTTTGAGCAAAGACATGACTAACAGTGATTTTGATGACTTTCTGGTTTCAGTCCATTTTAATTTCATTTTGCTAAGACATTGTCCTTTTGCAGGTATGGGAGGAATGAATCCACAGGACACTATGGAAAGCATGTTGATGGGATTTGAAAATCATTTGTCACGAAATAAGCCATCCAGTATTAAACTTGTTTACATCGTTGTCTACCAATCTAACGTGTATAATATTTTTATTGACATCTTGCTACAAAAATCACAACAGGTAGGAGGAGGTTTAATATTTGGTACAACACTTTGCAGCATTATAATAAAATCAAAGAGTGGGGCTTTTAATATGAAGTGTGTGGAATTTACACATTCTCTTCCTTCCCCTACCCGGCAAGGATACACATCCCAGCCAATGGGGTTATGTGGGCCCAATGTGGTCTTTAAATTCTAGGGCTTGAGTTGGTGAGCTCTGATAGATTTTTCACTAAGCAAAGCTTTGGGAACAGGAGACAGGACCAGAAGACGCCACAGAAAGGTAGATTTTTAATAGTAATTGGAACTTTATAATAGGTCATGAGAGTCAGAAGTGTTTCTTTACAGTCCCAGAACCTTCATTTTCCTCTGACCTGGGCATTTACTTTCCTTCAGCAGGTTTCCCTTTTATAGCACAGACTCCTTGAATTACAGGTCATCCCAAAGACCCCAGTGACAGCAGTGTGGTGCCTGATTTTAACTGCCATACTAGTCAGGAAATAAGAAAGTTACTGAGGCCAGATCGTTAAAATCAGCTGCTTCCCAACAGCCCCACCTTTGCCACTTGAGAGTTAAAACCCATCCTGTAGCTCTGTATGCTTAACTCTGTTGGTCAGAAAGAATCACAATGGAGAGAAAGAAAAGTAATCCTAACATTTCTAATGTTCACCAATCTTTATTTCAGAAAGTCAACTCAGTAGAAGTAAACATTGGCAAAATAAAATTGGTAGCTGCTCAAGGTGACATCACAGCAGAACAAACTGACGCAATTGTAAACTGTACAAATGTCAACCTTAATCGAAACAGTGGTGAGTGCCAATGTTTGGTCACACATCTGTTTTTTTAACAACTATTAGTTGCATTATTGATGACCCTGTTACCGTATTATAACAGCTCAAAATTCTTGACATAATAAAAAAATGCTATGCATAGGATTATCTCAGGCCCAGGACACATCATCTCATCTCCTCAGGATAGTGTCTTAGGCCCTACCATCTTCAGCTGCTTCATCAATGTCCCTTCACCCTACAATTAAGTCAGAAGTGAGGATGTTTATTGATGATTGCGTGATGTTGAGCACCATTCATGACTCCCCAGATACTCATGTAGTCCATATGCAGCAAGACCTGGACAATATCCAAGTTTGGGATGATTAGTGGTAAGTAACATTTGCACCAGACAAGTACCAGGCAATGGCCATTTCTATCTCCAACGAGAAAAAAATCTAACCCTCAAATTAACATCACCGAATCCCACTATCAGTATTCTGGGGTTGGAGGCTACCATTGACCAGAAACTGAACTGGTCTAATCATATAAATACTGTGGCTACAAGAGCAGGTCAGAGGCTAGGGATTCGGTGATGGGTAACTCACCTCCTGTCTCCCCAGTGCCTGTCAATTATTTACAAGGCACAAGTCATGAGAATAATGGAATATTCCACAATTGCCTGGATGAGTACAGCTCGGATAGTGAGAGTATGGTGCTAATAATTTCGACGGGTTTTTGTTTTAAATAAATCTGTTCAGGGTTGCTATTACACTCCTCCAAAGTAGATGGGAATTAAACCTAGGCCCCTACCACTGCACTACACAAACAGTTAGTTGTATTTTTTCCCCCTTTATTTTCTAATCAGTCTGTTCAGAGATGTTATCTCGCAATTCTGGAGGAGGTGGAACTTGAACCCAGCCCTCCTGGTTTAGAGGAAGGGACACTACCACTATGCTACAAGATCCTGTATAGTTGGCTCTGTTTATTTTCGAATCAATCTGTTCAGAGATGTTATTACACACCTCTAGAGTAGGTGGGAATTGAAATCAGGCCTTCACAGCCCAGAAATAGGGATATGCCATTGTGCCACAAGAGGCCACATAGTTAGTTGTATCAGTCAAGGTTAAGGATGTGTTGCTGGAGGATATTGATTGGATGATTGAGTTCATGTTAAGAAGCACTTAGTGTCATGGCATAAGCCAAGCTATGAGATGTATACCTGTAATAATAAATTTATAGCAAATAGAATATTGTAGCTGTGAATAAATGTATAGCAAATAAAGATTTGACCTCTTCCTTAACTGACTGGTTATCGGGTGTATAGAACAGACTCCATATTGTGGCTTTTCACCTGCAAGCTGTGAATTACATCTCCCATTTCTGCTGTCTTTTTGTCCTTTATGCAAGGAAAGTGAACCAAAAGAATAAATAAGTCTTACTTCAATTGATGAGAAATTTATTTACACAACAAAATGTTGTGAACCTGGAATTCTCTACCCAGAAGGTTGTGGATCCTCCATCACTGATTCTACATCCTGATCTTCTGGGTTAAGCTCCATCTCACCACTGCCTTTGACACATGCTTTATTATAAGGGCTGAGCTTAGCTATGAACATCCCATCTTCCTAACCTCAACCTTAACTTGTGACATGGTAACCCTCAGGTTAAACCACTATCAGTAGTCTCTCTAACTGTCTAATGTGAGAGTAGCCCTATGGTCGTCTGGCAACTTTACTTTTCATTATAAGGGCTACTGCACCTCCTGTTCCATTTTGTTTCTTTTTTTCTAGAAGTCAGACATCCTAAAATATTTAGTTCCCCTCTTTGATCAGGAAAAGGTGCTAGATCAAAACCATTTATCGTTTTGCATCATTATTTGTTGCTATTGTGAATGCCGGCTTCTAGTTATGAATGTTTTATATGTTCCGATAAAGCACTTCTAACTTTTAGTTTTTTGCCGTATTTCCCTGTTGTGGCCGTGGTCAGTAATACACTTCAAGCACAAACTCCTTAATTTTATTTCAAATCACTACACTACAAGTTTGAATTTTCAGACTTATGAAATGACTCCTATTTGAACCCACCCCTTATTTATTTGTAACCTTATCTCCCACCTCCATATGTGATTTGCCAGTACTTTAGTTCCAACCAAGTTTAAGTTGAGTCCATCTCAATAGGACAACTTCCTCTTTCTGCTGCATTGGTGACTGCCCCATGAACTGACATGGTAAATCTGATTTAGCTGATACATATCTTCAGTACAAAAGTTGAGCTTTTTGTTAAATTGGAAGAGTATATTATTGCCAATAACTAACTTTTCTACCTTACAGGAGTTTCTGGTGCTATCTTAAAAGCAGCTGGACAGTCAGTAGTGGATGAATGTAGTCAACTAGGTGAGTAACTGTTGGGCATCTTCCTCTTTGGTGAGACGGAATGCAGGCTCAGAATGAAGTTTGGTTTACCGGAAGGATAAAGGATTTTCCAGTCACTTGTCAGAAAATGATAAGTCGATACCAGCCTCAAAGTTCAGAAAGTACAAAAAAAATGTTTTAAGGTAATTTAGTTGAGCTGTAATAGAAACCCAGAAACATGAAAAACCGAAGCAAGAGTAGTCCAGTTGGCCCATCGAGCCTGCTGCACCGTTCCATATGATCGTGGCTGATCCTCTATCCCAAAGCTATACTCCCACTCTCTTCCCCTATCCCTTGACTTCTTTAGCTTCTAGAAACCTATCTATTTCTTTCTTAAGTATATTCAGTGACTTCACCTTCGCAGTCTTCTGTGGTAGAGAATTCCATAGGTTCGCCTCTCGCTGAGTGAAGAAATTTCTGCTCATCTTAGCTCAAAATGACCTGTTACCTATCCTGTTCTGCCACCACAGTATCTCAGTATATCCTGGGGTATCCCAGTAGTGGCGAGAACTTCTGGCAAGTGGGAGGGTCGGGCTAATGTTGGACGAGAGGGCGCTACAGGGGCAGGACATGTACTTCATGAGTAGAGTCTGGAATGATCCCGTGAAAAAGCTTGCTTGTCCTCATAGAGAAAAATCCTCCACAAAACACGATGAAGATGACAATTAGACAAAATATAGAAGATTCAGCCTGTGTATTCCATTAATGATGATGAAATAGCAAAGGATATAGGTAAAAGAGATCTGGAAGTTTAGGATAACAATCTGGAAACCCAGACGATGGAACGTGGGTTCAAATAACACCATGGCAGCTGGTGGAACTTCAATCCAATTCATAAATAAATCCGGATTTAAAAGCTACCCTTAGTAATGGTGACCATGAATTACCAACAATTCTTGTAAAAATAAATCTGGTTCACTAATGTCCTTTAAGGAATGAAATTGGCCATCCGTACCTGGATTGACGTACGTGAGACTCCAGATCCACAATGATGTGGTTAACTCTTGACACCCTCTGAAATGACCTGAACAAAATACTCAGTTTAATGACAACGAGGGATGGATAAAAAATGCTGGCCTTGCCAATAATTCCATGAAAGAATAAAGAAAGAATAAAGTTTGCAGATGACACCGAAATTGGTTTTATAGTGGACAGCAAGAAAGGTTACTTCAGAGAACAACAGGACCTTGATCAGATGGGCAAATGGGCCAATGAGTGACAGATGGAGTTTAATTCAGATAAATGTGAGGTGATGCATTTTGGAAAGGAAAATCAAGGCAGGACGTATACACTTAATGGTAGGGTCACGGGGAGTATTGCTGATCAAGGAGACTTTGGGGTGCAGGTTCATGGTTCCTTGAAAGTGGAATCGCAGGTAGACGAGGTAGTGAAGAAGACATTTGGCACACTTGCCTTTATTGGTCAGTGCATTGAGTATAGGAGTGGGGAGGTCAAGTTGCGGCTGTACAGGACATTGGTTAGGCCACTTTTGGAATGCTGTGTGCAATTATGATCTCCCTGCTATAGGAAGGATGTTGTGAAATCTGAAAGGATTCAGAAAAGATTTACAGAGGATGTTGCCAGGGTTGGGGGGTTTGAGCTATAGGGAGAGGCTTTATAAGCTGGGGCTGTTTTCCCTGGAGCATCAGAGGCTGAGGGGTGACCTTATAGAGGTTTATAAAGTCATGAGGGGAATGGATAGGATAAACAGTCTTTTTTCCAGGGTAGGGGAGTCCAAAACTAGAGGGCAGAGGATCAAGGTGAGAGGAGAAAATTTAAAAGGAACCTAAGGGGCAACTTTTTCACATAGAGTGGGGTGTGTGTATGGAATGACCTGTTGGAGGAAGTGGTGGAAACTGGTACAATTACAATATTTAAAAGGCATCTGGATGGATGCATGAATAGGAAGGGCAAATGTGACTAGATTAATTTGGGATATCTGGTTGGCATGGACGAGTTGGACCAAAGTGTCTGTGTCTGTGCTGTACATCTCTATGACTCTATAACTCTAAATAAGAAAACAATCATGTTCAAACAAAGGACAGCAGCAAGTGGAGAAATAAGTCAGAGGAAGTCAAGATCAACCTGTACACCTGTAGTGGGCATACTGCCGCATAGTGTTAGCTTGGGCTGAAGCACAAGAGTTACATTCAAGAGTTGGAGACACAAGGCTAATTTCAAGTGTCAGGCATGGAACTGTGACACTGTGAAAGGAGGCACACGGACAGGAATAGGCCATTCAGCCCCTCGGGCCTGTTCACCATTCAATGAGATCATGGCTGATCTGTAGCCTCACTCCATAGACATGCCTTTGCCCCATATTCCTTAAAAGCTTTGCTTAATGAAAGTGTATCTGTCTCCAATTTAAAATTAACAGCATATCTAACTTCAGTTGCCATTTGTGGAAGAGATTACAAACGCTTGTGTGTAGAATTGTTTCCTACTATCTCTTCTGAACTGCCTGGCCCTATCTCAGACTATGACCCCAGTTTTAGAATCTCCAACCAGTGGAAATAGTTTGTCTTTAGCCACCCTGTCTTTTCCTATTAACGTCTTAGAAGTGTTACTATAGTGGGATGGACGCTTGGAAATACCAATTCAAGAACAGTACTTAAAATGAATGTGCAAGAATAAGACAAGGAGAGGCAGTTTCAAACTATTCTGAGGTAAATTTAGAACAGAGATCAAAAATTTCTCCTTTACACAAATAATGATCAATGGAAAAGACTTCTGGATAAAGTAATAAAGCCACTAAGAATCATACTATTTATGAAATAATTGCGTGCTGGAGTAGGGAGGCTTTCGAGTTATTCTGATTGGATGAGTTTTAGAGGATCAGAGTGGCCATTCTCACCTGTGACAAATTTGCAAGATGCTGGCTATCACATACTTTTAACAAAAGTGTCGATCAGCTTTAGAATTTATAGCATGAGGTTAATTGTGTGCCTCTAACTAGTTGTTGAATTGTTGACAGTGGTCACAGCTTTCATTTCAAACATTTTTTTTCCTGCTGTAGGTGTCCAAAACGACGATAGCATTGTAAGCACAAAAGCAGGAAACCTTCGAGTAAAGTACATCATACATTTGGCAGGCTGGCTTAAAGCACAAAATACAAAAGGATCTTTAATCAAAGTTCTGAAGGAATGTGAAAACCTAAAAATAAGTTCAGTGTCTTTCCCAGCAGTGGGAACAGGTAGGTTCTGGTACAATATGTATGTGTTATTTAAATACCTTTATTTTAATATGTTACAGAAAGCATGCAGGTAAGGTGATCCAATAACTTGAAGATGATACTATTTCAGACCCCGGTATAAAGTATGAGCTTGAAACAATTCTGATGAGAATTACACTCAAGCTTCCTGCTGATTGTGTGTTTATTTTTTTTACATGGAAATTTCAGCAAGTCATTTATAAGATATCCCTCACCAAATTATTAATGCACTTAACTGAATTGTGTTGACAGTTCCCAGGGAAACGTCTATGAGAGATAGACCCAGCCTTTATGAAAATTCTGTTTTCTCTAAAAAAGATAATAATGCATTCTGAAATTAAACTTCCAAAAGAGCTGATACCTGGTTCAAGCAAGACATTCCTTCTACACAGTATTTGAAAGACTGCTTCCCCAATTGTAATTTGAGTCACGTATTATTACAAATTGCACTCTCTTTGGTTAGATAGGTTTATTGGGCATCATAAGATTGTAGGGATATGTGTAATGATTACAAGGTTTCACACCTCATAGACAGGTCTCTGGTTAGTACCTTTTAAAGCTAAACACTCCAGAACCAGTGCACATTTCTCAATGCTGGTTCACTTGGTCCTCATAATGCAACCTCTGGTGGTGTGCGTTTCTACATGTTTCCAACAGCACCTCGCCCCATCTAGCCTGGGAATCAACTTATCCCCAGGTTAAACCTTCCCTCTGTTGCAAAAGCAATTCCCCGATTCCATCTACTATTATAATCATTCACTAGATTATGAAGATTCCTAGCATTTGCAGGTTTTCCAATCATGATGACCCTTTGTATAAGCCAGGGTGTGATTGTTAGAGTCAGTATCTTTAATTCAATTCCGTTTACTATAGGTAGTCTAGTTCCAGCATTAATAGATTTGCTTACAATATATGCATTCAAGTTCTCCTATCCATTTATCAGTATTTTCAGTTATGTGATACAACTGAATTTAACTGACTATTAATTAATCTGATATTAGGAACTGCAGATGCTGGAGAATCTGAGATAACAAGGTGCAGAGCTGGATGAACACAGCAGGCCAAGCAGCATCAGAGGAGCAGGAAAGCTGACGTTTTGGGTCTAGGCCC